TGGTCATTCAGTATATTCAGGTCGTCAGCTGACCTCATTCTTTGAGCACAAACTGTTGCTGAACCTAGACCTGACCAACTGCAGCAACCCCAGGTCATAGCACTGCCCCCACAGGCTTGTACAGTAGGCACTAGGCATGATGGGTGCATCACTTCACCTGCCTCTCTTCTTACCCTGATGCGCCCATCACTCTGGAACAGGGTCAATCTGGACTCATCAGACCACATGACCTTCTTCCATTGCTCTAGAGTCCAATCTTTATGCTCCCTAGAAAATTGAAGCATTTTTTTCCCGATTAGCCTCACTGATTAGTGGATTTCTTAAGGTTACACAGCTGTTCAGTCCCAGTCCCTTGAGTTCTCTTCACATTGTGCGTGTGGAAATGTTCTTACTTTCACTATTAAACATAGCCCTGAGTGCTGCTGTTGTTTTTCTTCCATTTGATTTCACCAAACACTTAAGTGATCACTGATCACGATCATTCAGGATTTTTTTCTGGCCACATTTCTTCCTTGAAGACGATGGGTCCCCACTGTCCTTCCAGTTTTTAATAATGTGTTGGACAGTTCTTAACCCAGTTTTAGAAGTTTCTGCAATCTCCTTAGATGTTTCCTCTTCTTAATGCCAATGATTTGACCCTTCTCAAACAGACTGACATATTTTTCACGACGGGGCGGCTGTGGCTGAGTGGTTAGAGCAGTCATCCTCCAATGCAAGAGTTGGGAGTTCGAATCCACCAGCAGTCACATGCCGAAGTGTCTTGGCAAGACACTGAACCCTTTGTTGCCTCCGATGTGTGTCCCGTTGGTGTATGAATGTGATCTAAAGCACTGATTAGTCTCTTTAGAATAATTTGTTCCATTAGCTTTGTAGCGATCTAGTAGAGTGCTGTATGAATGGGAAAATGAGGGCATAGATTGTTGTGTAAAGTACTTTGAGTATCTCGATAAGATAGAAAGACGCTATATAAGTACAGTCCATTTACCATTTACGACCACGCTATGTGTCTTTCCACACGGTTGTTTAAGAAATGAGAAGCAACTCATTGCACCAGTTGGAGTTAAATAACTTGTTGCAGCTGAAAGATAATCACTCATGCAGTAATTATCCAATGGGAGCCTCACACCTATTTGCTTAGTTAAATCCAGGTGGTGACTTTTTTTTTTTTGGCCAGGCAGTGTATGTCTAGCTTAATATGATTCTTGACCTGCCATTGTGTATCTGTTCCTCTCAAACCCAGCCGGTCGAAGCAGATGGACGCTTGTCCTGAGCTTGATTCTGCTAAAGGTTTCTTCCTCATGGAGGAGTTTTTCCTTTCCATTGTCTCCTTCATGTTTGCTCAAGATGAGAGTTCTGTGATGGAGTTAAAGTCAAAGCAGTCTGCTCTTCAGATAGTTAAATTATTATTTTTATATATGAAGGTTTTTGTTCAGCGCCCTGAGATGAGTTCTGTTGTGACATGGTGCTATATAAATTAATTGAATTGAATTGAAAAATACTGAGAAGAGGATTGGATCAGGAATTTCACACTGGGCTATACAACAATATGAAACAATATAAACAGATTAAATTTGAGGAGCTTTATTCAAACCTATTAAATGACACATGCAGTTAAATTTGGGCTCATGTTCTTCTCATATTGAGTGTTTAAACTGTGATCCTGCCCTGTAGAGGACTCCATGCGCTTGTCGCCTCTGGACGGATGGGCACCTAAAGGTGAAATAGTTGTTGGCTGCAGAGTTCAGGCTCTACTGCATGACTTGTCCTGCTTGAATGGCATTTCCTTATCTGCCTCCTGTCTTCACTTCTGTGCTTCTTACGAAATGAACATAGCTCTGTTAGGAGAGGCTGTTCTAGTTAAGTGTTATTTATGTCTAACAAGGTTAAGTCAGGTCCTGTGGATGGATTGAGCTTGCATCAGGATGTTGTTTATGGTTCAAAACTGCTATTCAACAAAATGCTTGTGGCAAAAAGCTGGCTTTTCTCAGTCACAATCAAAAGTAAAACACTGTGGGAAAGAAAATATGCTTTGTGAAGTGGCAGGTAACTGAGCTGGGTTTGGGCCTTCAGCTGACAAAATTCTCTATTACGATGCCTTTTCAACAGTGACGATTATCAGACCGGTGTGTCTGAAAGATACGACTTATTTGAGTCCCTTTACATTGTTTCCTCAACATGCAGATTCTACTTTGAGCAAACCCTGTGATTGAGGTGAACATGCTGCATGCTGCTCAGACATGGTTTTTACTCAGTGTTCTGCCCTCCATAACTCTCTGGCTGTTTGAGAATTATGTAACCATTAAAACATAAAAATGTTTTGCAAAAAAAGAAAAAGACCAATATTTGTTTTTAAACTGTGTTGTTCTGCTTCAGTTTAACATTAATAAGTTTTAAAAGTAAACATTTTCTATTCTTTTAATTGTGTGTCTTTTGTGTTACAGATGTCAAATCTTCTATCATTGGAAAAAAGAAGCCCATGGCCACCAAAAAAGGGGTGAGTTTATCTGAATCAAACCACAAACCACGTGCAGACTCAAAGACCCGAGTCTGCACGTGGTTTCTTCCTCATACCGAGTGGCTCTTTGAATTGTGCCGCTCAAGGTGGCTGCATGTTGGAGCAGCTCAGCATTCACTCAGTTATTGTTTTTGAAAACTTTAATTCCTCTTTCTGCATGTAAATCACTTTAATAATTATTTCCTCTATCGGATGCTGTGTAGCTGAAAGGATTTTTACTGAAACATTTTACTTTTGGACATTAGTTATTTATTAACCTTTATTTAACCGGACAAATCCCACTGAGGTCACAGATCTCTTTTGCAAGGGAGGCCTGGGCCTGAAGGCAGAACATGCATGTTTTTGTTCTGTGGGAGGAAACTGGAGTACCCAGAGAAAACCCACACAAGCATGAGAAGAACATGCAAACTCCACCCAGAAAGACCCCAGATCCAACCAGGTATTGAACCCAGGACCTTCTTGCTGTGAGGCAACAGTGCTAACCACTGAGCTGTCGTGCTGCCACTGTTATGATGCGTAACCTTTGAAACTTTTGGTTTCCAGATGGCTGCGCTCAGCCAGGTTGCAGCTTCACAGGCTCCCGGTGAACTCACTCTTTTTTTGTTCCTGTTTCTGTTTTAATCTTTTTTTTGAACCTACAATACACATCCACAGTACGGGTATGACTGCGACACATTTGTGGAGTTTTCTGTGTCATTGCCTTGCCATCCTGTCATTGTGGTTCAGTCCTTCCAGCCGCGGGCTCTGGTCTGTCATGATAGCTGTCTCCATGATCCTCCATCTGCCTGCATGGACCGAACTCTGCGGACCTGTTTGGTTCCACGGGGGAACCTTGGATGTTCTCTGTCTGCTGGACCCAGTTCTGGAGGGTAGTCTGGGAGACAGCTGTTGTGGTCCTTTATTATCATAATGCTGCTGAAGGGACCTGCTAACTAGACCTGCTAATGCTGCTAACACCACGCCACTAACCGAACCACGCTGCTAACAGTATCATGCTGCTAACTGGACCATGTTGCTAAGATAACCTCACTGTCATCAGAACCACTGCCAATAGGACCATGCTGCTGTAGATTTATTTCTTTTTCACTTTTGGTGCCTTGTTTCTGTATTTTTGTTGCATGCTTTGAATAAATCCTAGTTTGTTAGTGCTCGCAATAAACGTGTAAACTATAGCCCCCAGAGGGAGGTCTGGGGTCCTCTCCCAGAAAATTTTGAATAAAGTAGATGCGCTTTCCTGTATTTTGCTGTAGTTTAACGGGTTGTTAAACATCTATGTTTACCTACATTTGTAAACACTCCGCTTCTGTCAAGCATCCACCCCCCCCCCCCCCCCCCCCCCCCCCCCCCCCCCTCCCCTTCTGTCAACCCCCCCCCCCCCCCCCCACCCCCACCCCCTCCCTTACTTGACGGTTCAGAGCCCGACTCCTCCGTCTGTTCATGGCAGCTTCCTGTGGGCTCCTGCCTCTGTACAACTGCCTGGTTAGCTCAGCACTCACCCCCACCACTCTTTTAGGGGTGGAGATGTTTTTTAAGGGTTGAAGCAGAAATGCTTAATTGAAGGGTCAGATTGTGTGCAATATTAAGAAGCTCGTAAGTGGCTGTTGTGTTTAAAATTAGTGTTTATGTAATTATTTAGCGTTTATATATCCAGTATAAGTTTTATTCATTCAAGACGGTCATATTTGTTCATAACTTTATTATTAAGCCTGACAGTTGCTGGATCAAAGCAAACTTACCGGAACGCACCCTGTCAAAATAAGAGAGTTCCTGGATCCTGTTCCAGCAGGATCCGGCTCAAATTAAGCCACCGAGAAACCTGCCAAGTCCAAGAAGATGGATCAATATATGTGGTCAGTTTCTTCTGATCGAAGTTCAAGTTGTGTTTATTTGTCATATTCAAGGTTAACACAGAGTTAACAGTACAATGAAATGCTTAGCATGAGGAGAATCGATTTGACTCGCTAAAAAAATCTAAGAACAAACCAACAAGAAATACTAAAAGCATGCAACAAGGGTGCACAAAAAAAAATTTTGAAAAAGTAATTATAATATTTGCAATGTTACTCCACCATGCAGCCTCCACTGTAGAAAAAGGCAGCAAACTTTTAACAACAAAGTTTGTGATTGTCCTGTGGCCCCCATCTCTTTACTTTTGTCTGTCTCTGTCCTCACATCAGGGTCAGAGGCTCCTGTGAGGAGAACATGAACATAAACAGTGAACATTAGTGAACTGTTTAACCAGCTGACGGGATGGATGAGCACATTTTTACAAGCTAAGCTTTATCTGTTACTGTCAATCTTTAGTTAGCTTCTGATTTTAGTTACCTACATAGATAACCATAAAATAAAGCTACACACTAATATCTTAAAGTTAGTGTTACATGAATCCTAGTTTAACTCACTGCGATGCACATGTTAAGCTGCAGAAACGTTAACAAACGTAAACTTACCAGCTGACATCCCAGGCACAGCTCCGTCCTCGGTGCGAAGCAGAGTCCGGTCATGGAGATGTTGAATCAGGCCGTTCAGGCTCTAACACCCACAGGCTGACTTTAACGCTGAGAGGAGGAGGCTGCGCTCCTCTCTCCTTGCAGACAAACATGGAGCAACTTTACGCTCATAAATTCCGTGCATGGTCAAATGTTGCATATTAAGGCTTGCCTTAGAAACCACGTAAAACCCCGTCTGTGTTTTTTCTGGTTTTTCGTGCGTACTGCAAGTTGCAGCTCTGGCATTGGCTGTAACTTTACATGTGGTTGAAACCGTGTGTAACGTTACAGCCAATCACCGAAAGAAGAGGCATATTTTGATCCATACATCAACCGAAGCAGTTCGGTCGGTGCCATTAAAGAACCCAAGTTCGGTACTCGGCCCTAGCCTCCACACTGATATAGCACGTTTAATCTCTCCAGGTTCAGCAAAGCAACATAAGAAATATATTGACAGGGTGGTTCAGTGTCTTGCCCAAGAATATCAATTTCAGCTTGCTGCAGGGCAATGAAATCCTCTAATTGATGGATGACCGTCCTACTAGAGCTGTCATTTCTAACCCAGGCCTGAAGCCCGGCCCAGCCTGACCTGAATTCGGGCCAGGCCGGGCCATAATAATGTGCGGGCTGGGCCGGTCTCAGGCTTTGATGTGGTTTTACGAATCCTACAGCACAAAGAAAACTAAATAAAAATACACAATATAAAATTGTGTTAATCTACTTGTTGAGGAGGAGGCAGGTCTGACCGGCCGGTAGAGGTAAAAAAAAAATGTCCATGTAATTAGCTAATCTGTCAGTTTCAGGTCGGGCTCAGAAACAAATTCTATGGGTTTGGGCCAGATTTTTTTTAGGCCCGAATGCAACTCTACTTCCTACCACTGGTCCAAAGCTGTTGTGAAGGACTATCAGCAACAACCACATTAAGTTTTAGCTCAATGTCTGTACAATTATCTGCATTATAACCATTTTTGTTTTTCCAAGGTCAGCTGACTGTGGTGGCCATCTTTAATTTGACTCGTTCCAAAAATTAACTACAGAATTGGCATTTCCTGTGAAAATGCAGTGTGAATGCTTATTGCTGAAGAACTTCTTGAAAAAAGCTAAAATTAGCAAAAAATATCTCAAAAGTAGTCGAAAAGGCAGAAAGAAGCTTAACCTACGAGAAGGAAATGTTAATGAGTAGAAATATGTGGAATTGGCTAAAAAAAAAAAAAGCTAATATTTGCATAAAACAGCTAAATACTAACTGAAATAACAGAAAAAGCTGAAAGGAGCATAATAAGCTGAAATTAGCAGAAATAAATTAAATAGGCTAAAAGAAATAGAAATTGTCATGAAAAGCTTGAATTTATAGGAAAACAGCCAAAATTAGCTAAAAACTATCTAAAAAGCTATCTGAAATGGTAGAAGAAGCTTCAATTAGTAGAAGATGGCAGAAAGAACGTTTGCCCAATTAGTCTGAAAAAAAGCAGAAAAAGTAGAAATTGTCTGAAAAAAGCTGAAATCTGGAATAAAAAAAACCTGAAAAGTATCTAAAAAGAAGAAGCTGAAAATACATGAAGGAAATGGAGAGAGCACATTTTGCTGAATTAGGCTTAAAAAAGTTGAAATTAGTGCGAAAAATGTGGAATTGGCTAAAAAAGCTGAAATCAGCATAAAAAGAGCTATATATTAGCTGAAATGGTAGAAAAATCTGAAACACTCAGAAATAAGCTGAAAGGAGCATAACAAGTTGAAATGAGCAGAAATAAGTTAGAAGAAGCACAAAAATGTTGTAGTTAGCTGAACGAATCTAAAAGAAGCACAAACCAGCTGAAAGTTTCTGGCAAAAAGTTAGAATTAGCAGCAGGAAGCTGAAAGAAGCTGAAGCAGAACAAAATGTGAAAGGAGCAGCAAAAGGTTGTAAACACAGCTAAAGATGTGAAGGATGTAAAATGAACTCCATTCATTTTCTATGAGGAAAACAAATGGCTGAAAAGGCTAAATATTTCAAAAAGCTGAAGATTCATCAAAACCAAAAGTCATAGCAGGATTGTCCTGAAAGAGCTGAACGTTTTGATTTGTCAAAGTTCATGCACCCAGGTCAAAAACCACCAAAGTTAAGTCAGGTCTACCTGTGGGATGGAGTTTGCTGCAGCTCCTCAGACTGAAGAAGTCTTTTGGATGAAAGATGAAACGTTTCAAGAAGAAGAATCCGTCCAGAGGACCTGACTGAAACTTGTTGAGTTTTGATTTATGATTTGTTGAAACAGCTTCAAAACTGTGGGACGAGAATCACGCCAGAAAACTTACGGAAGAATAAAACAATAGTCTGAATGCTTCATAAACATTCATACAACCAGTTACAGATGTGTGTTCAGTTATTATTTTCTGAATGTTTCGTACAAATCCATCCAGAAGTTAGACATTTTGCTGACAGACAGAATTGATTCTAAATGTTGAATTGTAACATTTTAAGCAAAGATCTTGCAGATTGAGTTGTCCCTTATATGTTGTAAATGGTCTTCAGCTACAATTGCACCAAATTTGATGTAAATATCTTTAAAATTGACAGTTGTGGCAATTTTATATTTTTTAGGCTGTGGCAGCCATCTTGAATTGGTTGACTTTAAAACTGTCTGGTTGTAGGTGTACATCTAACGATTACTTGCTGAGAGTTTTAATAACGATTGTCCAGTGGTTGACGAGACATTTGGTAAAGAACGCATGTGCACACAGCCAAAAACTAGGGGTGCACCGAATAATCGGACGGCCAATTTATCGGCTCCGATTTCCTTAATTTTGGGAGATCGGCCGATAATTACATGAGAAAATGATTTTCCAGATGTTTTTATAGTTTTAACAATTGTCTGAACTTCATTTTTATTTCAGAGCACTACCTCATGGCCGGTTCAAACAAGTTTGTATTGTTTCTAGGATATTGTTCAAGGGTATTTTTTCCAATAAAATAATGGACAATTGAAGGTGCATTGTGACTTTATAACACCTGACAGTGTTGCTTATCAAACAAAATCGGTATGGGCCAAAATCTGAATCGGCAGGTCAGACTTTTTAGAAATCAGTGATCGGTCAGAAAACTGCAATCTGTGCACCCCTACTAAAACCATTATCATTCCCGTGGTCCTTTTGATTGTAGTCCTGTCTAAAACTCCTGACCCAGTCCTCATCTCTCCAAGAGTTTCTTCCAAGCATCCAGGGTTTCCTGTAATATTTCAAAGTGATCTGGATCAACAGTTCCTTAGACTTTACAGGTCTGAAGGTCTCAAGGGATTCAGCCTTTTTACCTGAACATTTTCAGAGAAATGTTTTGAATTCTCACCTCTGTACCCCAATAGCTGTGCATTATTGAAGAGTTGTTTAGAATAGCTGAAGCTCTTCCTTTTCTCTTCTCTGTATTGCAGCTCGGTGCAAAGAAAGGCCTGGGTGCTCAGAAGGTGAGCAGTAAAAGTTTCTCGGAGGTGGAGAAGCAGGCCCAAGTGGCTGAGAAGTTAAGAGAGGAGCAGGCAGTTGAGGTTAAGAAACAAGCTGAAGAATCCATGTAAGAAACTTTCCTTCCTTTTATGACTCAGATTTCCATTTCAAACCACAATAAGTCCTTTTGCTTGTTAGTGTGGCCTCCATGCGTTTGGCCTACAAGGAGCTGGAGATCGATAGGAAACTGGAGGAAAAGAAACTTCAGAACATGGAAGGCAAGAAGCGAGAGCAGGCTGAGAGACTGGGCATGGGCTTCGGCAACAGGAGGTAACGTGTTCACACCACATCCTTGCTGCCTGTCTGCAGACAGCTAAACAAGTCAGGTGCTTCTCTTCCTGTTTCAGTGCCGTGTCTCACTCTGTGATGTCAGAGATGCAAGTGATCGAGCAGGAAACCCCCGTGGGAGCCAAGTCCTCGTCCCGCTCCAAACTGGACATGTACGATGAGCCTGGCTTCACTTCTGGACCGCCAAAGTAGGCAGGACACTCACACTCAGACCAAACATGTTTAGCTGTGTTTGTTGGTTTTCTTCTCGTCCTTCACTGGTATCTGAACAAAGTGAAGACCCGTTGCTTTATTCTTGGACTTTTATGTTTAAGATATAAAGACAACCCATTCACGGTAGGAGACGGTTTTGGATCTCGGTGGGACACTGATGGAGGAACAACCTCTTTCACCACCTCCTGGGCCCTGGAGAAAGAGGAGCCCAAAGAGGAAGTCACCATCTCCAGTATTCAGCCAATTGGAGAAAGGTACCAGCAGCTTCACACAGTCCTTCTGTTTGAACCCCTGACCCAGGACCTGTTTTGATTTTTGATCTTGGCGCTTAAATTTAGACTTCCTAGCAGGAGAAAAGCTGAGGTGTCTGCTCCAGTCTCAGAGTCCAGTGAGGCCAGGCAGAAGTTTGCCAATGCCAAAGCCATCTCGTCAGATATGTTCTTTGGTCGGGAGAGCAGCGCTGAGGTAAGAGGCATCATTAGTTTTACTTTCAGAATCAAACTGGGATAAAAATTTGAATCTGTGTGGAAATTAACTTGTTTTGGGGAAAAACTAATGTATGGGATGGGTCCGATCCAGTATCCGTATTGGGCTCTGATACCAGCATAATTTATGTATCGGATTTTTCCGATCCAACCTGCAGAGATTTTCGATCCATGATGCATGTCTGTCTCCAAGTAAAACATCTCCACATGTGCTTCCCTGCCAGCTGCTCTGCATGTTGGCTTCAAACTATGGGATGGATTTCCTGAACGGAGTCGTGTCTCATGAACCCAGAGTAATAAGACCCGCCTCACATTCAGGAAATCCAGTTCATAGTTTGCAGCAGCTACAATGTGAGGACTGAGTTAGCAGCACTGTGGCTAACAGCTAACAAACTTTTCATCTAAACATGTCCGCTGTGTGGAAGTATTTTACACTAGAAACACCACAAAACAAGACAGCAATGTGCAATGTCTGCAGAGCCATGGCACCACATTAAACCGTGTTAAAGTTAGTTTTACGATGGACATTCGAGCTCCGGGGCTTCAGTGGTCTGTTATTTTCGTTCAGTCCAGAGAAGATAGTCTGATTTCGTTCAGCTGCGCTCCGTCTGCCCTGCTCAGTCTGCCCGTCGCAGAGGAGGGGCAGACTGAGCTGACCGAAATCAGACTATCTTCTCTGGACTGAATGAAAATAACAGACCGCTGAAGCCCCGGAGCTCGAATGTTTACAGAGAAGTTGATAAACTTCATCATAATTAATGACCAACCACTATCAGTTGTAGAAAATGAAGGATTTCTCAGCTTGATACTTGCAGCCAAGATATAGTTTACCCTCAAGGAGATATTTATCAGTACAACAGTAAACAATCATAAAAGCATATGATTTGAAAATATTATATATATATATATATATATATATATATATATATATATATATATA